CTGCAGCCGGGCACAGGCAGGGGACAGGGGCAAGAGGGGAGCCACAGCAGGACCTGCTGCAGCAGTGACTCTCTCCTGCAGGTCAAACACCTTCTGCAGTACATAGGTATGTTTATATGCACATATAGATATATATGTTTCATTGCAGCAATCTCTGTGGTGAGCAGCCTGCCGTGCGGATGAGGATGTCCCTAGGCTGGTCCTGTTGGGGACTGGGAGTCCTCAGAGACAGGGAGCCCTTAGGGACCCCGTGGCACATTTGGAAGAGCTAAAACACTTAAAGGCATCTTAAACTGCACCAGCTGCACCGCATCCCCTGTCCTTCCCGGCATCCAGCCCGATTCCCTGCTGCCAGACCCACCTCCCCTTCGCACCGAGGCCACCGGAGCCGTGAGCCCTCGGGCTGGGTTCCAGCGCCGCAGGCTCGATAACATCAGTGCTTCGGGCGCCAGCCCCCAGCTCCTTCCTGTTGTTGACTCCGGAGCTGTCAGCGGCGGATCCTCATGGCTCTCTTTTCATCTGCAGGACTTTGAAGTGAACTCTAAACCAGTGGCACCTACACCTCCTTGGCTGGCAAATCCTTAGCGCTGCGTTATCAACCTCCATGCAGTCTCTGCCAAGCACAGCTAAAGGCTGGGGGAGACTGCACGGAGCAGCCCCGAGGAGAAGGACTTGGGGGTGTTCGTTGATGAGAAGCTCCCCATGACCCAGTTTCAGTTGAGCCCAGAACCCCCCCTGTGCTGGGCTGCACCCCCAGAGCGTGAGCAGCAGCTCAGGGAGGGGATCCTGCCCCTCTGCTGTGCTCTGGGGAGACCCCCCCTGCAGCCCTGATCCAGCTCTGGGGCAGCAGCACAAGAGGGACGTGGAGCTGTTGGAGCGAGTGCAGAGGAGGCCATGGAGATGCTGCGAGGGCTGGAGCAGCTCTGCTCTGGAGCCAGGCTGAGAGAGCTGGGCTGGGGCAGCCTGGAGAAGAGAAGGCTCCTGAAGGGGAGACCTGAGAGCAGCTCCAGTGCCTAAAGGGGCTGCAGGAAAGCTGGAGAGGGGCTTGGGACAAGGGCCTGTAGGGACAGGCCAAGGGGAATGGCTTGAACCTGCCCGAGGGGAGACTGAGCTGAGCTCTTAGGCAGAAGCTCTTCCCTGTGAGGGTGCTGAGGCGCTGGCACAGGGTGCCCAGAGAAGCTGTGGCTGCCCCATCCCTGGCAGTGCTCAAGGCCAGGTTGGACACAGGGGCTTGGAGCAAGCTGCTCCAGTGGAAGGGGTCCCTGCCCGTGGCAGGGGTTGGAGCTGGAGGAGCTTGAAGGTCCCTTCCAGCTCAAAACCAGGCTGGGATTCTCTGATTATACCTTGGGAAACACAAAACACTCCATCCTGCTGGCTGCCATACTGAGGGAAACAGCAGTGTGCATCATGGTGTGCTCAGGCACATGGGGCACCCCCATGCCAGCATGATGGACACAGAGCCAGGCTTGGCAGGGCCAAACCATGAGCAGAAGCTGCGGCAGGGACCAGCACCGCTTGCAGCTGCTGGCATGCATCTCTGCAGTGGGCGGCAGGTTGAAATGCCTGCGCTCCTCCCTCACTCCCATGGACCAGGAGTTCAAAAGCGCATGGAAAAGCATCCCCACAGCCGGGAGAGCACCGTGGGAAGGCAGCAGAGCAGGTTTGGTGTTCCATTTCTTTGCACCATGGTTCCTATGGACAACACCGACCTCTGGGGCAGGAGTTTATGGGCAGCGCTGGGGGCTCTGTGGGACCCTTGTCCCTGGGCAGCTGGGATGGGGACAGCGAGCAGCGGCTCATCCCAGCACTGATGCCGTGGGGGGTTATGGATGGTGGAAATTCCCTTTGAAACCCCAGTGGGAAGCTAAATCCTTGAGGAGCCAGCCGCTTGGGCACTGCTGCAGTAGGGGTGTTGGGGGCATCCATCATTAACACTGGCAGCAAGAAGGGGAGAGATTGTGGGTCCTTATCCTGCATCCCCGAGGCTGGGTCCTGCACCATCCACCCTGCACACAGCACAGCCCCTGCTGCACACCTGCACTGCACAGCCCTGTGCGCTCCCCAGTTGCACAGCTGGATGCACACAGCGGTTGCACAGCTGGATGCACACAGCGGTTGCACAGCTGGATGCACACCTCGCTCGTACCTGGGAGCCACCCGGTCTCTGGAAGTACACGCTTTCTGCACCCTGTTTTGCAGGTTTTCATCCTGTTTCCCCCTCCAGGATCTGAGCCGTGGCCATTCCAACCCCTTTGGGCGCAGCCAGAGCTGCTGGGAATGGGGAGAGCACTGGGAAAGGGGAGCAGGACCCATCATCTCGCTGCATCAAGCAAGGAGGAAGCACCACACTGCATTGCTGCCTCTATGTGGACCTGCTCTGATGATAAAGGAAAGCATGCAAACCCCATGGGGTGCTCAGGGCCAGTCAGTTTTGGATGGGAGGAGGATAAAGCAGACCCAAGAGGCATCCTCATTCCCTGAGAAAAGGATGAAAAGCACCAGCAAGCTGCCCGACTCCCGAACTGGGGTTTCCCACCCCCAAAATGGGAGGAAAGCATGGGGGATTCGGGTTAGCTTTGCAGCATAGCTGCCACCAGGGTGTTTCTGTGCTGCTGCAAGAAGGAGAAGTGAAAGGAGCTGTTATTTCAGTGCCAGAGCAAGAGCAGTGTTTGCATGTGCTTGTGATGAACCGGCCTGGCAGAACGAGGTCACTGGAAGGGAAACAAAGGAAGCAAGAGAAGGCTGGTGGAGGGGGGGGACTGGGGCACCCTGTGCTGTGTCAGCCCCACACCTGGGCACCCCGTGTCCCAGTGCCATCCTTGGTGCTCTGGGGTTGGTTGTTCACCTGCAGCTCCAGCTCTTTGCTGCCTTCTCCACCCAGTTCCCATGCTCTTCCACTCCAATAACCCCGTGTCCCAGCTCTGTGCATCCCCGGGAGCCACGAGCGCAGCGCTGGCTGCAGCAAAGGCGAATGGGAACGATGCTCAGGGGGGATTCATGGAGAACCATTTGGGATTGGCACCACCATGAAGCCTGCACCTTACACCCATGCCAAGGTGCTGGGAGAAGCACCCCAGGAGGCTGCAGCCCCACTCCCAGGGTTACCATCGGCTGCTGAGGCTGCAGCCCCCTTCCAGCCGGATGAGAGGTGCTGGCATGGAGGTGTCCCCCATGAAGTGCTGGGTGAGAAGATGGGCATGGGATGGGGGATCTGCACTTCCACACTGCTTCTATGGAACCAGGGAGTGCTGGGTCCCCTCCAGGTACCCCTAGCTCCCCAGCATCACCCACAGCAAGGGCAGTCGACAGGGAGGCCCTGGTCATGTCCCCCCCCCACCACCACCAGCAGGATGTTTTTGCCTGGAAATCCCGTTGTTTTGGGTCAGGCCGGGACATGAAAGCATCCCTGAGCCCCGGAGCCGCCCTGCACCCGGCGCAGGCTGCGCTGCGGCCATCGCCTTCCTGTCTGCATCCGCCTTCCTGTCGCCGCTGCCACCGGCACGGCACGGCCCCGCTCAGGAAGGAGAAGGTCTCCACATGGAGAGGGTGGCCGTGCCCTCTGCCTGCCTCTCTTCCCCTTGGTCTCTGCTGGAGCTTGGCCATGGGAGGGTTTGGTGTTACCGGTGCCAGCAGCCGGGCCGCAGCCGCTGCCGCTTGCCCACACCGAGCTGTTAAAGGAAGCAGCAGCCACAGGACGGGGTCATGCTTTCGTTTATTCACTTCATATAAAAATCTCTTTTAAGAATGCATCTGAACACAATATATAATACTATAACATACATTGTGTGAAACTTGGGGGGGGACAATAAAATAACCACCTGGAACAATGCAGTGTTCAACAGACATACAAACCCATTGATCATGCACAACTGTGCTATTTTCATTAACTAGTTAGTCACAAGTTGGACCAAAAGCTTGAAACATTATGTTACAAAGTGAGATTTGACACGGCTCACGACTGCCGGACAAGCTTTGTCAGAAGAAGTTTCACAGCACAATTATTACATCAGTTCACATTGGGTTTTGTGGCATAGAAATTCACATTGGGGTGCTCAGAAGGCGGAAGGGGACGTTTAAAAGCCAGCCCCATTGCGGGGGGGGGTTCTTTGCTTAGGTTCCTTTCTCCAGGTTTTTTCCAGCGTTTCCATTCATTGCCATGGGGTCTGGGTCTGTGAAGATGAACCCCCCGCAGGCGGCTGCCACCCGAATGCCCTCCCTGGGTTGCGTCTGTCTCTTCAGCTATGTTCAGGTTCGTGTATTTTATGCAATATAAAAGGTTAGAAGGAAGGGGGGGGAAAGGCAACTCCTGTTCGAGTTTTCTACCCCTTGAGCATCGCCGCCGAGAGGCGATGCCAGTTCATATATAAATTAATAACTTACAAAACATTACAGTATGTACATTACGTAATAAATACACTGTTATAAACAGTAATGGAGGTGTTAGAGCTCAAGGCAGTGCAGGAGGACGACGGCGGACCTAAACCTAGGAGACGTGGAGGGGAGGGAACACAAAGATCCGAGCGTGCGAGTTCCGGGGAGCCGAGGAGCTGCCGAGGGGGAAGGCGCGTCAGGACACATCACCTCGCTGCCTCCTCACTGCTTCCAGGGGCACGGCAGCAAACCACCCTCCATCCTGCTCCCCACAGGGAACAACACCCCGTGGAGGAAAACCCACTGCTATTCCTAGCAAGCCAACGGAGATGCTGCGTGAAGTGACTGTGAATGGGTCGCCTGGGGTAGCAAGAGGACGATTAAAGGTGCAGCAATGCAAAACAGAGAGGGCTTCCCCTTCTGCTTAGTCTGTAAAAGTGATGAACTGCAGTAAAGTGACAGGTATTGCCATGGAAAAAAGGAAGACTGCTTCTTGGAACAGGAAGAATCAAAAAGGAATCCGTCAATTCTGAAACACTTCTGTGTCGCTTTTGATACTAAACTCCGTGTATTTCGTTAAGAGACTCTTGAAAAGACATGAAAGTGTTTACAAAGAAGGCACACAGGTCTGCAGACAGGTGGTCAGGTGGACAGCTTTTATATGGAGAGTTATTAATCAGTAGTTTCTATCAGTCTAACTGGTATAAATTCCAAAGCTAACAGTATAAAATCTCTCAGTTGTGTGTCATTTACTCTTCAGTCACGACCCGAGCCAGCTCCAGGACAGCAGGAGGCTGGGAGCTGACAAGGATTAAAACCACAACGTCAATCACCTGTTAATTTCCTGAGCAATCATTCACTACACGATCTTTAACCCTGACTCCAATCTCAAGTAGCTGGGGAGATCTTGCAGCCCGTGGTAGACACAGGCCTCAGACCCAGGCTGCAGGCAAGTCCGTGAGACTGCTGCATGCTCCTCAAGCGTTTCAAATCCACTCACGCGGGCGCAGGACATTATGTGTCCACAGGAGATGTGTCTTCTGTCACAATCTCTATGTTTGCCTCCCTCTGTGACTCCTCTTCCCCTGGCTCGGCCACGCTGAGTGTCTTTGTATTGCTGAAGTAGCCGATGCTCTCACCGTCCTTCTCCGGTCCATCCGAGTCCTCCTCCTCCAGCGTCAGTTCAAACTGGAACTTCTCCATCAGGCCCTGGCAGTCCCTGCCCCGCTCCTCCAACGGAGGAGATGGGCTCTGAGGTATCATGCTCTGGTACCAGTTCCTGTTGTCCTCCAGCGTGTCCAGGATGTCCTGGGCATCGGGCTGCACCAGGTCAGCCCACGTCTCCCAGAGCGGATGGACGATGTAGTCAATGAATCCCACCTAAGAAACACAGCAGTATGCATGCTTAGGGAAAGCCAATGCCAAGATGGATCTAAAAGGTTCAAATGATGTTAATAGATGAATTTTACAAGCAAAATACCACACCCCACCCAGAGCAAGTCCCCAAACCAGCACAGTCTAATTGCAGATATAATGGAGATGCTGCGAGGGCTGGAGCAGCTCTGCTCTGGAGCCAGGCTGAGAGAGCTGGGCTGGGGCAGCCTGGAGAAGAGAAGGCTCCTGAAGGGGAGACCTGAGAGCAGCTCCAGTGCGTAAAGGGGCTGCAGGAAAGCTGGAGAGGGGCTTGGGACAAGGGCCTGTAGGGACAGGGCAAGGGGAATGGCTTGAACCTGCCCGAGGGGAGACTGAGCTGAGCTCTTAGGCAGAAGCTCTTCCCTGTGAGGGTGCTGAGGCGCTGGCACAGGGTGCCCAGAGAAGCTGTGGCTGCCCCATCCCTGGCAGTGCTCAAGGCCAGGTTGGACACAGGGGCTTGGAGCAAGCTGCTCCAGTGGAAGGGGTCCCTGCCCGTGGCAGGGGTTGGAGCTGGAGGAGCTTTAAGGTCCCTTCCAACACAAACCAGGCTGGGATTCTATCATCTGATACTCAAAGCTGCGCATACATCACTGGGTCAGGTCAATGTCTTGTCCAAAATCAAATCCTGGATGAAAGTTTAAAGGCAGGAGCCACAGGGAATCTCAGTGATGGAGCTGCCAATCCCATCCCCGGCTGCATGCATGGTTTTAAATATCCCTGGAGATGTCTGCTCCTGACCAAGGGCTCAACCCCTGCTCTGGGAAAGTCAGGGTAAGCCATCGCTTTGAAGACAGACCATGCCACTGAGGGATGCCTCCCTCCAGCTGTTAATGCAGAGGGGCGGTTTAGATGGTTATTGCCTCTACCCTAAGCATCAAGAAAGTTTCCACATCTCCAAGAGGACCCCCTGGTGGCTGTGGGCAAGGCTGGTGTGTTTATGGCAACGCTGCCATTACCCCAGGGTGTGGATGTGGCTGGCAGCGGTGAAAACACCAGTGCTCCCAAGGCGAACAACTGAATGTCACTGCTTTTATGGACTAAAGGTTGACCTTCCGGTGCATTTTATGACGGTGTGTAGTTTGTACCTATTCTGAGCTGCTTCATGCCCTGCATCTTTAAACACTTCAACCCTTCTGCTCTGCTTTGCCAAGGCAGCCACTGTGGTTCTCTGTGGAGCTGGTAGAGATTTCCTTTCCCTTCACTCTGGTTTGGAATGAGTGCTGAAAGCAGGTCAGAAGTGCTCCTCCTGCCTCCTCCTGTCCCATGGAATGACATCCAGAGATGGAAAGGATGAAGGCTGTGGCCGAGCCCGTCAGCCCTTCCGCCGGCTGGAGCGTAAGCTCTGAGCTAAATCACTTCTCAATTGTGTGACTAAGAGGACGTACGTCCAGGATGGAGAAAACTCAATGGCCATAAAGAGGATTGAAATTCTTCCGTCTTGGCAGAATGTGTCACTTCTTGCTCTGCTGGACAACATTGCTGTGCAGCAGGAAAATGGCTCTCAGAGGGGCCAGGCTCAACGTGCAGATGTTTGCTTTGGAAATCGCACATGCCTCCTTCAGACACAACAGGATGTCAATAGAACCATTAACATTCAATTGTAACGGACTGGGGAGGCAGCTTAAACAAAAAGGTGATGAAAATTTCCTGCAGCACATGTTCCAGAGCACTTTTAAAGTGAAGAAAGAAAACTGTTCTCTATGGTTAGCTGATGGCTTCACCACCACCCAAACCGCTCCAGGGCTACCCAGCACCGATGGTGAGAGATCGGTCCCTTTGGAACCAGGCCACTGTTTCTTTAAACAAACATCCCTAATGATGGAATAGCTGGCCAGCTGGCTGAGCACTGATCTGAAAGATTTTGGTGTAAAGAGGTAATATATGAAGACAGGCTGAGAAAGTTGGGGCTGTTTAGCCTGGAGAAGAGAAGGCTGCGTGGAGACCTCAGAGCAGCTTCCAGTGTCTGAAGGGGGCCTATAGGGATGCTGGGGATGGACTCTTCATTAGGGACTGTAGTGACAGGACAAAGGGTAATGGATTAAAACTGAAACAGGGGAAGTTTAGATTGGATATAAGGAGGAAGTTCTTTCCTGTGAGGGTGGTGAGGTGCTGGAATGAGTTGCCCAAAGAAGTGGTAAATGCCCCATCCCTGGCAGTGTTCAAGGCCAGGTTGGACACGGGCTTGGAGCAAGCTGCTCCAGTGGAAGGTGTCCCTGCCCGTGGCAGGGGGTTGGAACTGGATGATCTTAAGGTCCCTTCCAACCCAAGCCATTCTATGGTTCTCTGATCTAGAGCTTTGCAATACTTGCATACTATATTCTAACCAATTCCTTGTTTTACTCCAGAACAGACATGCCACCTCCCTCTCCCCTCTGCCCCTAGCTGGGATTTCAACAGTAGCCATTTTGTGCAACTCCTTTCTTGCATGGCAAAAATGCCATTTTGAACCTCTATGGAGTGCACATGTGAAAGAAGAAATTAACTGGGGCTCACATGAGGAGCACATGGGCCTTTTCCAGCCAAGCCTTGCTGAAGGATTCATTTCTCATTCGGTTAACAAATAAGACAGATTTTTCCAACAAAATCACCATGTGGTTGAGTGAATAATTTTGAAACCACTTGGCTTAGGCCAAGAGGACATTTGGAAACAATTATCATCAATTTTGTTACTTATTCAAGCTGAAAACCCTCGATGAGGACTTGCTGGAGTCATTTAGAAACAACAACCAAGACACCATTATGTAAAGGTTGGAAGATGTTGAGGCAAACATAAATTACCAACTTCATTACAGACTAACTGGGTGAAATTTTACGGCCTTGTGCTACACAGGTCAGAACAAAATCTGACCTTGAAACCATTTAATCTATGAATCAGAACGAGGGATGAGCCGGTTCATCTCAAAAAAAGAGACATATCCAGCTCCTTTTGAGGTTTATATTGACAGAAACAGGTATTTCTTTGATATATATTTCTTTGATATACCTAGCACACAGCAGCTCCATCAACCTTGAACTTAACTGGACAGTGCACAACTGTTCTCCACAAGGCTGAATAAACACCGACATCAGGCCTTTCCAGTGTCCTCAAGTGGATCTTGGTTGGGAGAAGCTCCTACCCCTATGGTTCAATGCAGCTGGCATTGCTATGAATGCCCAACATGAGGTGCAATGTCAGTAGGTTTAGGAGGTGCTAACGAAGGAGGCTGGGGGCTTTGAAGGCACAAGGAGGGGGAGATCAGAACTGCACTTTTTCCAGCCTGGGGAACGAAAGGAAACCAACTGGCTCTGGAAACTGGGACACAAACAGCGCAAGATGAAGAGGCACTGGAAATGATTTGACGCCAAGGGGGCAGATAAAGGAGCCTGAACAGCCTTGCGGGTCTATATGAGCTTCAGGCACAGCTGGATGTCAGGGTCAATCAGAACCAATGCTCTGAACAGCTGGCTCTTTGCCTAATTGTGCTAGAGAAAGCAGCTGAATTTGGTCTGTGCTTTAGAAACACAAGCCTGGGCAGTACAGAAATGCAGCTCCCAGCCAATTACCTGGGATTTTTCCACTGACGCCGTGTGTTTGTCGCACATTGGGCTGATTTCCATCCCTCTCTCTCGCTCTTTGTCTCCCTGCTGGAAGAACTCCTCCATGATCCTGTCCGTCCATTGCCGGTACAGCTCCAGAGACTTTGTGGGATTACTCAAGTCTGCACAATGTACCATATTTCGGAGAACCTGCAATTACATTAATCAGAAAAGTCATAAAATCAAATGGAAAAAGAGGACGGTTTCAAGCTGTATCTGCTTGCTTAGTTCAGAACATTTAACCACAAGACTCTTTGATTATGCAACAGCCTCCAAAAGTATTAACATCCCAACAGCTCCATATAGGAGACTGACTGCTATGGTCCACTTCAGGAGTGAAATATGCCCTATGTTTTTCAGACATCTTACACAGGGTGTAGTTGTAGTCATGTGAATTACATCATACAGGCTTGGTTTTGAATGCAGGTGCTTCCCACCATTCCGACTTTATTTCCATGCTCTCAGGTGGTTAAATGCTCCTGCTTCATTAACTGAGTAATATCCCTTCCACACACACACAAAAACTGCGGCTGGACAGTAATGGAGTGACCTGTTTGAACATCAGCAGTCTTAAATAAAAGTGTAAGGAGAGGTTTCCCTGCTCTTAACAAGTTGGCCATCAAAAGTGGACAGAACATCAGGATATATCTTGTCCTACTAACTATGAAACCCTGCTCCAGTTTTAGTAACTGCTTTGTTGTTTCTGCAAATAAAGGGTTAGGTTATACAGGGAACAGATTGCACATCACTCATTTCAGCTCAGTGTGAGAGTTGCTTTAGGTAAGGGGTTACAAATCAAATTCACAATGCTAGAGCAATCTTTTTGACAGGAGAAACAAATGGGAATAAACAGCAAGGAAATTCAGGAGCCTCAAAAACTCAGCCTTGTAAGGCTGATCGGCATCAGAAGAACATGAATGCTTGCAGCTCCATGCTGTAAGCGCTAAAACATAACCCCATTTATCTAAAAAACATGGGACTATCTTGTGCCTCTTTGTGGTGCACAACAGAAGAAAATTTAGGTCAGTAGCTTCTATATTTAAAAGCCACGGTAAAAACCGGAGCATGGTTTCATAGAATCAAGGAATGGTTTGGATTGGAAAGGACCTTAAAGGTCATCCAGCTCCAACCCCTGCCACAAACAGGGACCCCTTCCACTGGAGCAGCTTGCTCCAAGCCCCTGTGTCCAACCTGGCCTTGAGCACTGCCAGGGATGGGGCAGCCACAGCTTCTCTGGGCACCCTGTGCCAGCGCCTCAGCACCCTCACAGGGAAGAGCTTCTACCTAATATATAATCTAACAAAATACATAAAATCCAGGAACCCCGGCTGACCTACCTGTATTCTGTCTGTGTAGTTGTCCAGAAGGAGGACCCCGGAACTGGTCACCTTCTTGGTTTCCACCATAGTCTTCAGGTCAGCTAACAGGCTCATATGCTTGGACATATCTGTGGCCAACACCTTTACGGAAGTGAGAACAGGATCTCAGTACAGGCAACCATAGAAAGCAGCCAGTCTTTTGTTTAAGGAGAGGAGCAGTGTGTGCATAGCTCATACCATGTCAATGACCATCTTCCTGAGCGTCTGCCGCTGCTTCTTGGTCAGGTTCTGGAAGATGTCACAGTGCTCCTCTTGAAGCAGTTTGAAACCCACGGCAAGATGGTGGTTCTCCAAGACAGATTCATCGTTGTACATCAGGGCCAGCTCAGAATCTAGCAAAGCAACACAAATATGTGAGTCCTGCCCGTGAAGTGTGTGATTTCAAACAGCAAACCCTTGTCCTGAGTAACAAAATGTTGATCTCTATGCAATAAATTGGGAAAAGTTTTCTTCTTTGGCCTCATGTGTGCCAACAGCGTGCGGTTTTCCAATCTGAGCACATATGTATATAATATAAACAGCCCTTTGCTCAGTTCTAATGAACAAAATAATACTTGGTTGACTTAGTTACAGGCTTCAGAATCACTGACAACAGAGAGCATGAATCCTACAAACACACTTTCCATAAAAGAACAATACCCATCTCTTGGAATCAAGATACATGCTTAGGCTGTTGCAGAGCACAATATGAACCACAATATTTAGCTTCATTGTTGTCAATAGCAATAGTGTTATTTCTCTTTTATTAACAATAAAATTTGCACTCGGGCCTGGAAGAATTATTCTGCATTAGCAAGTAGTAATACTCATAAGCTTCAAGGGCACTTTGCAAATTGTTCTACAATAGCTTCTTTTGTTAGGAATTTCATTGTAATTACTGCTTATTTCATAATGTCTAACTAGTTTACTGCACAATAGTTTGAGAAAGTCATAATGGGTGACCACACTGTAAGGGAAAATGCAGTTCCATTAGATTCCAAGTCTGAGGATGAAGTTATGGCTGTATCTGAAACAAAACTCACTTGTGTTAATGAGAAATTGATTGGAGACCCCGGGGTGATCCACATCATGAATTGCAGCTGCAAAGATTGCAGCAAGGATTTCCAAATCAGTGAAGACAGCCTAGGAAAGAGAACAGGAATTTATCAGAGAAGTGCTCATGTTTTATCTGTCAGCAGTGTGGGAGGCTGATGTAGAGGAAGAAACTGTGCTTTTCAAATGAGTTTTCTGAGGGCAAGACATTTAGGCAGAAAAAAGGTCGACAAAGCAGCATGTGCCCGTTTAAGATGAAACAGAGATTACAGGTAAAGCTGCTGCTGAAATTGCTCACTGGTGACTTCCCTGGCAGTAAACTGAGCCCTCAGAACAACAGAGAGCACACAGCCTTCTGCAAGTCTGAGTGCTACTGGCCACTGACTCAGCTTAAGTTTTCCCTTCTATATTCACATAGGCAATATGGTGCTTTTAAGCCTCCATCCTACCTTTAAACCCAACAAACAACTGCCCAACACAAAGCACTGAGCTCAAACTGGGAAACTCACATCCAGTGCGGGGGTAGAGAGCAGAACGTGAGTGGACTGGGCAACATCAGCAGCGTGGAGGCTGTTGTGGTAAGCCACATCTGAGTGGTAGTGGTCTTCTAGTGTCATCATGTACGTCACGAAAGTGTCTGATGAGATCTTGAATGTTTTCAGTAGATCTCGCTCCTGTATAATACATGGTACAAGGATACATGCAGATATCAAATGAGGGTGTCATACAGTAGAAGGCAACAAGACAGGAAGCAATTAGGAGCTCAAAGAGTGCTGTAAAAGAGCAGCAGATTTGATCAGAAAGCCACCAACCTGAAATATCGCGTACATAATGCAGGTGAGCGGCCGGTTGTGGGAATACCTGGCCACATTGAAGATGTTGAGACCCCACTTATTCAGATCCTCCAGTTCCTTTGGAGAGGACAAAAAGAGAATGGTTACAGTCTTTTCCAAGGCAATTCTGCCTTTAGCACTTGCTCTGCATCTTTAGCATTTTCCAAATGTTTAAAGAGATGCAAATTCAGTGCTCACTGTGGGAATTAGGTGAGTGAACGCATGTACTTAAAGCACACCAAGACAGAGGAACTGGAAAGGGCTGATGCCAAAGCACTTGTGCAAGGAGATGCCATTTGTGTGGCAGGGGAGTTATATGTGATGTGAATTTCCAGGCTGAAAGAAGAAATGCCCTGACAAAGGCCCTACAGCCAGACTGCTGGACACGGTGTTGTTATAGTTTCCTATGTCTGATAACTGCTCTCCTCAGCCTCCATCATATTTTTATTATTATTTTAGGGATATTTCCAAGGAATTTATGAACACAGAATATGTTGTTAGGGCCTGGAGCCATTAATTACAGTATTTGTAATGGCCACATCACTTCAGGGATGCCAATTCCAGTTTTACAAGGGGATACTGTCCAGCCAGCCCATCCCCAGCTTCCAGATAACTCCCAGTTCTCACAGAACTGTCATACCTTGGCCAGATGGTCTTCCTTTTCTGTCTTCACACCAAATCTTGAGATGCTGGTGTTATTTAAGCTTGAACTATGCATCAATTTTTTCACTCCACTGATCTGTGTCATGAGCTGCTGTTTTTTCTTCTTCTCTCTGTCTTTCTGGGTGGGAGAAGGAATCTCCACATCATTCTGCTTGTCTGTAACCAAGAAAGGTGGAATGAGTCAACGTTGTTTGCAGTGTGAGCACCATCACACCCTGCAAAATGAACCCTTAGCTCTGCTGACTAAGCTCAAGCCCACATGTTTCTGCTGGGGCCTTCTCTATTTTGGGGAGTGAACTGAACCAAAAGCAAAGCAAAACAGTCACATAACCTCTGTCTGCCCTTGGCAAGGCTGACCCTTCCCACTGAGCCCTGCTGGGCTGCCTTCAGCACAGCCACTGTCAAGCTGCATCACTTGGGGACACAGCATGTGTCCAGGACACAGCTCTCCATGCCTGAAGGGCACCAGGTTCTGCTTATGGATAGATCTCATTTTTCTTTCCTATTTTCAGGAAAATAAAATGTATCTTCAAAACACCACCTTTTTCCTCAATAGATGAAGATGAAGAATAGATACAAGATTGTATTTTCATATCCATTCTGTTGTTACTTATTAGGGCCAAACTCATCTCCATATCCCCGGCTCTTAAAACACCAACCCAGTAACAAACTGGTGTCAGTGACTTATTAAAGGTTAGCCCTTTATTTATGTATAGAATATCTATAACATGTATAACATATATAGAGTAACTGTATTACACATAAAATATATATATGTATAGCATGTATAACAATAACATGTATAGGCAATATTTCTGCTGTCAGGCTCAGAGACAATGACAATATTAACACACATTAAGTAGGCATCTATCTAGTGGGGCACAAACTTGGCTCTAGAGATGTGTTGAACAGATAAATCTATCCACATATGCTACTGACAGCCTTTACCACTGATTTATCTGGTGCATTAGAATGGAGATAGAGTAGCTCATTGCTTTCAGGCTAACCATGAACTCTTAGGAGAGGATGCTATAATCTGTTTGCACCTTTGCATCTCTGAGGACCTCTGGAGGACTAAACATCGAGGCATTAGTTACCTTTGCCTTGGCTTAATTAAAAACCTCTCAAATAAGAACTACCAGTGTGTCTGCAATACTGCAATTAAGAGGGAAGCCATTATTCACAGCCACAGTAAGCTGACATCAGTGGGTGTTTCCCTTGTGTCTTTCTGCTGAACAACAGAAGGACTTTCCTCTACATAATCTCTTTAGCAATGACTAACACCAGGGTAGTGTAAAATGGACATTCTTGAATAGAGAAGTCCAGTTTGTTAAATCAAGTCCCCATGGTGGTGGCAGCAGCAACACCCTTCACCCCTCAGGAAAGGGCAAGTGCTGAAGGGCCACTGTGATCTTCCTCATTCATGTGGTGGCCTCATTCATGGGCCAATGAAAAAGGGCCTGTAGGGACAGGCCAAGGGGAATGGCTTGAACCTGCCCGAGGGGAGACTGAGCTGAGCTCTTAGGCAGAAGCTCTTCCCTGTGAGGGTGCTGAGGCGCTGGCACAGGGTGCCCAGAGAAGCTGTGGCTGCCCCATCCCTGGCAGTGCTCAAGGCCAGGTTGGACACAGGGGCTTGGAGCAAGCTGCTCCAGTGGAAGGGGTCCCTGCCCGTGGCAGGGGTTGGAGCTGGAGGAGCTTTAAGGTCCCTTCCAACACAAACCACTCCAGGGTTCTATTCTATCAAAACCGCCAGTTTTCATCTTTGTCCTTCCCAGGGATTTAAAGCTGGAGTCCTTGCTCTCCGTGACCAAGCTGACAGCAGGGATGGCCTCTCTGGTGCTCTTGGTGCCTTTCTCAGCTCATTTAATAAAGTCTAGAGACTGAATAAAAGTGAAGGTTTTAATATCTATGTTAGCCCCTATAGTACTGGTTGAAGATAAATTAATAAATCCTATTCACTTGTGTCTTTTTGATTGCTTGTTCAGCTTCCCCAGTCGCACACTCCTGTTATTTTGGGCATCAAATTTTCAATCAAAAGGGGGGAAAAAAGTTATTTATAAAGGTGTGACAGCATGACTTCCTAAAAAAAAGCTTGAAGATCCTTTAAAAAGCTTTACTCATTTCTCTTTAATATGCGCAATTAAACTGCAATCTGCCCCAGTCTGGTGAGCCTGCGCCACTTGGCAACACAGCCCAAAGAGCCTGAGTGGCTCTCAAACTGTCACAAACCAGGGAGGATGTCACCCGTTACAAGACTGTCAGAAGAAGAAGAATAGGGATGAATAAGACCCATTGTAAGACCTGCAAAGGGAAATGCAGTTACCTGACCCAACCCAATTGCATGGAATAATAGAGCCCCATTAGCACCAACAGTGGCTTCAGCTAATTAGTCCCTGGTGCAATAGAGACTCCTCTAAGTTGACTGTAGGTGTGGTTTATGGGTTTTATATTAGGTCCACAGTATCAAGCCACACTGGGTATCTCTCCATCCCATAGATATACGCCTACTGGCAAGAGCTGCCTCAAAATGCAATGGTGGTCACACTCCCCAGCATGCTGTGTATGCACCAAGCCCTTTAGCTGAAGCAGCAAGGCAGCCTTGCTTCTACTCCCTGCATTAAGTCATGTTCTGGATGTCATGATGAAGCTAAGCGGTAAGACTGGGCAAATGGATTCCCACAAAGCAGCTACGGACTTACACGGATTATTAGTGATGTGATGTGTCCTAAATGCACGCAGTAGTTCCAGTTCCAACTGGCTACTGAAATCACTTTAAAATCCCTTAATGGGAGTAATTGTGTGTCATACAGTGAATGCATTCTGAGACGTCTTAACCGCAGGGCACGAGTCCCCATGAGCTCCAGCATCCCACATCACTCAGCACTTGAAGCTGTTGGACTCAGCAGTATAGAACCCCAGCCTGGTTTGTGCTAGAAGGGACCTTAAAGCTCAACCAATTCCAACCCCAGTGCCACGGGCAGTTTCAAGCCATTCCCCTTGGCCTGTCCCTACAGGCCCTTGTCCCAAGCCCCTCTCCAGGTTTCCTGGAACCCCTTAGGCACAGCGCAAAGCTTCATTTTATATACAAATGGTCACAAATTCTAAGCTGCTGGAGAACACAGAAGATTCAGGGGTTTATAACAAATCTATTTTGTAAACCCAGAGGATTCATTCCTGTCAGTAGTCCTATGAGATCCAACAAATCTATGACATTCAAAATACTGTTCCTACTCTTTATTCTGACTTGCAGTGCAAAATGAGCAAATACACACAGAGTAACATAGAAGATAAAATGGCTGGGCTGAACCTACTTCTCTGACCCCTGTCTCTGAAGAGGGAAGATGCAGGTGCATGAGGCAGCAGTTGCAAGGATGAGAGGATGCAGTTGGGCTTGTGTGACTTTGTCCTTTACTTAAGGTCAAGACAAAACCAAATACTGCACAAGGCAGCTACCAGCAGCTTAATGCAATCCGAGCAGAAACCTCTTTTCATTTGGAGAAGGCATTCCTCTGTGGATAGACTTACCCAAACCCTGTATTATTCCCCTCCCTTGATCCATTTTGAAAGTGAAAAATCAAAACTAATGCTCTGCCCTAAAGGCAAACTGGGCACAAGTGCTGACTGGTGGCTATGAGGCTTCCATTCATCACGAGCTTTGAGTCACCCGAAAGCTTGGGATGTGATTCCTTACCCAGGAAAGTGTTGGAAATGTACTCGGACACCTGGTTACCGGAGCGGCTCATCTCGGAAAGGTGTGTCAGCTCCCGGTTCAGCATCCTCTTGAACTGGGAGGGAAAGAGCACAGACAAAAGATGGTATTTTTCTGGAAGCTTTTCCAAATTAACACAGCTTTATCAGACGCGAGTTCACAAATGAGAGGTTAAAAGCAAAATCCTGGAGGTATTTGGAATGGAGTCAGCTGCATATGGTTTCATTCAGATACTGCTCAGCAGCATCACGACGAGAGATTTCCTTTCAGTGCACTAAACTGCAAAATTCATTTCCTCCACAGATACATACTAGTTTTTACTGCAAGAAATGAGAAGATAACGTTTCAAGTAATCTCTCTGAACGATCAGATTCTTGCACTGGTTTTAAATCCCACATCCTATAACCTTCTTTTGTTCTGCGTTTCCTAAGTTTGCTCCATTTTGTATTATGCAAGTAAAAGACAACTGCATAGAAGAGCACAGCAGAGGAGAAATATGCCATAAATCTGAACATCTGCTTGGGTCATTGCAGTAAAATGCAGGATTCAAGCATTGATTCACTCCGAGATACATGCTACAATCCTCCTAATTTTACAATCACATCTTTTCGTTGCTGCATCATGCTATCCTGCACTACTGAATTCCCAAAGGGGGGGAAAATTCCATACATGTAAGCTGCATGCACAGGACAAACGTATGTACATCTCTTGCCCCGCAGTACACACAAATAACCATTTAAAAGCGTGTTTTCCTTATAGAGGTTCTATCCAAGCAATACAGCACAGAAACAAGCCTCGAGGATTGAAACCCACCTTAATATAACCCCAAGACACAGACAATAAATAGTTGGCTTCAGGCATTTTGGAAAACTCCTCAGCACCGTCCACAAATCCTCCCGGAGAAGTCGCTGGTCAGAGGGGAACGCTCCTCGGGCACACACGGACACCCCCTCCCCAGTCAATCACAGAAGGCAGCATCCATCAGAGCCGGAGATCCCCCCGAACCCGGCGGCTGCTAATCCCAGACAAAGCCAAGCCCAGCACAGCATCTTTGCAGAGGGCTGAACGTGGGTGTATTCGCTCGCAGGAGAGAAGAATGAAATCGGGCTGCACGGAGGAAGGAGAACTGATCCAAACGCATTCAGCTGGAAGCACTTAGGGATTACGAATGGTCCTGGTTGCCTAATTGGCTGAAGGGGGTCCCCACTCCACCTCAGCCTCGCTCAGCTGCTCTCTCTGACACGAAAATGATGCCGGTTTCCGAGGGGCTGCCAGCTCTAGTCACACAGCCATCTTTTGATGAGGGAGATTAAAATGGAGGAAGCTCCGTGCATATTTAAATAAGTCAAAAGTAGGCAGTAGCTCTTCTCCGTTTGTGCTTTGGTTTAATCCTCTTCGTTACAGAGGCTGAGGATTTCCAAAGCAAGGATTCTCATAGGGGTTTTGAAAAGCATCATTCTCACTTTTGCAGTGAGATGACAGAGATTTCACCCCTACATGGTGAGGGGCAAAATGTAGCAATGTAGCAAAATGCACCTTCATGACATAGAATTATTTTTCAGTGATAAACTAGTAATAACCTTAAATCTATAATTTACGCTTCATAAATCCTTCCTTGCAAGTATGCATTCACAACCCTGATGTCAAGATTCAATCCTTCCTGTATTTTTTACTTGAGACTGACATGCAATTACTTTATTAGGAAGCTGTAGCTGTCCCTTTTAGCATCAGATCAAAAGCACTGCGTATGTGATAGAGATCACGGTGAGGAATTGCCGCTGATGCGCAGCACTCGCCGCTTTAGGACGTCCTTGGTGACTGTTGGCTGCAATACACTGCACGACAGCAGCCAGCATTCCTAAAATAAAAGTGCAGTCTGTGGTCTAAAATCATTTCCTTTCTCCATTAAACGCTATCAGCCTTGCCTGGAACGGCATCATGGGGCTTCCTCACGTGCTGCAGGACATGCAGGGATGGGGGAGCTGGTGCTGCAGCGCATCCCCTTGTCCCTGCTGCAGCAGCTGATGCAAGCAGGGAGATGCGGAGCCTGCATACAGCCCATGCAGAGCCTGCAGCTCCCTGAAAATCACCCCTTGCTGGCCAAGCATGGCTCCCCCTGCGGCTCAGCACCATCCAGATGGGACTCCCCCTCAAGCCTTCTGGCCACAAGAATCACACAGAGCAAAATGAAGCTGTGAAGGCACCGTCTTCTCTCCTTAGATTTGTGATTATCAGAGGTGGAAAGCTGATGCCATCTCCCTTCTGCCATGTGAGCAGACCAAAGATGGGTGCTATCTGCTTGGATTCTGCCACCACCATTTCTGCTGTCTTCTCTTACAACAACCTGCCTTGCCCTGCCAGAATGAATGCCCAGTTTCCAGGTTACTCAAACAGTTTAAATACTGTCTCATGGGATCTGGGCAAGAGCAGGATGAGAAGGATGCCACCTCATGGGATACAGGCAAGAGCAGGATGAGAAGGATGCCATCTCATGGGATACAGGCAGGAGTGGGCAGTGAAAGATGCCATCTGATGGGATATGGGCAGGAGTAAGACATGAAAGATGCCATCTTATAAGATATGGGTGGGAGTAAAACATGACAGATGCCATCTCACGGGATATGGGCAGGAGTGGGATGTGAAAGATGCCATCTCATGGGATACAGGCATGAGTGGGATATGAAGGATGACATCCCCCAGTGCTGGGTCATGGGCTTCAGCTCACAAGGTCCCCAGTAAACTTCACGTCAACCAAGGGGGACAAAAGCCTTTTGAAACTCCTAAGAGAGACCTCAGTGATGGAGAGTGAGCGGCAGGAAGATAAGAACCAAGCAAAGAAAGCCCGTGGGAGGAGGAGAGCTCTGACCCCATCACTCCTCACGCTGACGTACTTTGGCTGGTCACAAGCCCTGGCCACCAACATGTGGATGCTCCCACAGGCTCCCAGCGAACCATGTGCTGAAACGCTGCTGTGGACCGAGGCCTTTATCTTGAGGAGGAAAACACCACAATCAGATGATGACACAAACGCTTTGGGCAATGTTGAATCAGGCAGGTTTGCTCTACAGTCACCCCTTTCAGGCAAATAATCACAAGGGGAGGGCAAACAGCTGAAAAAATGCCTTTAGCTCACAACTGCCTTCCTCCAGGACAAAGGGTGGCCGCTGCCTTCTCGCACAGGCACAGAGCCATTACTTGGGTTCCACAAGGTCACCCAAGGCATCCGCAGTGGAGATGAGGCCAGATAGAAGACCTTGGGATGCTCCTATCTGATCTTTAACCAGAAACCTGTCCCCTTCATCTGTTCCAACAGCCTCACTCCTGCTCTCTTTTCCAGGCTTTTAATTAGCAGCCTCTTATGAAGGCAGACAGCAGGATCCAGTGCTGCTGAAAGCACTGCGGGGGCCAGAGCCAGCCGAGACACCCACAGTGCTGTGAGAAAACACACATGCTTTGCAAAGCTCACTGTGGTTTAACATCTGAGTGATGCTGGCACCTAAGGAGGGTTGCTTAGAATCACAGACACAGCCAGGTTGGAAAAGCCCTTCAAGCTCACCCAGTCCAACCATTCCCAGCCCTGCCAAGGCCACCACTGACCCATGGCACTGAGGCTTCGTCTCCACGGGGTGTGAACCCTTGCAGGGATGGTGCCTGCAGCCCTGCCCTGGGCAGCCTGTTCCAATGCCTGAGCACCGTCTGGGGCAGGAATTGTTCCTCAGCTCCATCTAAACCTGCCCTGGTGCAGCTTGAGGCCGGTTCCTCTTGTCCCATCCCTTGTTCCTGGGGAGCAGAGCCCAGCCCCTCCTGGCTCCATCCTCCTGTCAGGCAGTTGGAGGCAGCCATCAGGTCCCCCCTGAGCCTTCTCTTCTCCACACTGAACCCCCCAGGTCCCTCAGCCCTTCCCCATCACACTTGTGCTCCAGGCCCTGCTCCAGCTCCGCTGCTCTTCTCTGGCCCCACTCCAGCCCTTCAATGTTTCTCTTGCAGTGAGGGGCCCAGAGCTGAACTCAGGATCCGAGGTTTGGCCTCCCCAGGGGACAATCAGTGCCCAGGTCCTGCTGCCGCACTGGTGCTGCCACAGGCCAGGATACCCTTTACTTAAGAACACTGTACCTTTAAAAACTGACCCAGTTCAGCCTGCTGATGGCGCACATGGAAACCATGATGTCTTCACTGCTCCCAGGGTATCTGGGGCTATTCCTGAGCTTCCCTTGATGTGAGGATGCTCAGAAGTGACACTGCTTCCTCTGAACTGCACTGCCATTTGCCTGCAGGCAGAGAAAGCAGGTTGCTGCCTCTGTCCAGATCGATGCCTGATGTCATGTGCAAACTCTGTGACGATCCCTTCGTTGAATTGATGTGACAGCAAAGGGTAAAACAAACAGATTGCACGCTAGCGATGAGAAAATACCAACTGCTGTGCCACTGAGCAAACAGAAGTGTTGCTGCTTCAGAGAGCTCCTGCGTGGCCCTCAGCTTGGCAATTAGGATCGTGCCCATCAGCAACATAGGGAAACGTGCTCTTATTTTCATAATTAATAATAATCGCAGGGCCTTTTCCAAAGGAAATCAGCACTGCTAACTCCCTGTGCAGATGGGAACTGAAAAATGCATATGGATGCAATAGGATGTACATGGGAGGGGACGGGCACCCCAGCCCAAGGGGGTTTTCATTGTATCACAGACTGGTTTGGGTTGGAAAGGGCCTTAAGATCATCCACTTCCAACCTGTTGCCACAGGCAGGGACACCTTCCACTAGATCATGTAACCCAAGGCTCTGCCCAACCTGGCCTTGAGCACTGCCAGGGATGGGGCAGCCACAGCTTCTCTGGGCACCCTGTGCCAGCGCCTCAGCACCCTCACAGGGACTCCAGTCCATGATAAAGAGTCCCTCTGCACCATCCATCCTTAAAAAGAAGCAAACCCAAGAGGCAGGTTTAGTGCTCCCGTCTCTGTACCCCGAATTCCACCACAGGACCATGCAATGAACTGATGTAAATAGTGCAGATAACATGTGTAAGATGAAGCCCCAGCTGAAGTCTGTATTAACCAACCAGCCATGGTGCTCCAGCTGA